AGCGCCCTCGACTTCTTTCAGATTCCCGGAGTCCAGACGGTCGATTTCACTGGCCAAGTGTCGCATACGAAGGGGGCGCATTCGCGTCTTTGGCAATCTCGTTGACCTTTGACATCAAGTCCGAGGCGATCATCAAATCGAGTCCCCCGAATTCGCCGGGATAGTCGAGATCCCCAACGTGGACCTCGTTGAGTTGGAAGGCAGCATCCACCCAGGAAGTCGCTCTAACCCTCTGCGTAGAGCTAGACGAGACCAGCCGCACAACGTTCCTCATCCACTCCTACACCCACTGGCATCAGGACTGGGATCAAGGACGACCTCGTCTGTCTGCCCCATGTCTGCCCACGCGCCCACCGCCCCGAGACAAACTCCGCCCGGGGGAAATCCCGGGCCCCCGTCACCCAACGGAGGGTCGCCGCCCGGCGGGCCGCATCGCCCGCGGCGCTTGTCGCCGCCGTCAATTTCCTCATCGCCCGAAGACTCATCGCCCTCGTCCTCAGAGTCTTCTGATTCAAAGTCTGAGTCGCGATCGGAATCGCCCTCGCCGTCGCCAGGCGGGCCCGAGCCTTCTCTTCTCGGCGGGGCCAGCTCTCCGGGGGCGGAATCGCCGGACCCCCCCCTTCGAACGCGCCGCCACCGTCGTCATCGCCGCGCTCCGGGCATCCGCGGGTTAGGGGGGGCATAGCCTGGGAACCTCGTAACAGGCGCTGCTTCCGCGTCGGTGCCACCTTTTCCTTTCAATCTGCGACGCTCGTCATCTTCCCTTGCCATCTCCTCGTTTGTCCACCTCCCGTTTTTCGGTAAGTAGAGCAGCCTCAGCTCGTCTGCAAGCGCGCTACTCACTCTCTCTCTCTCTCTCTCTGCTTCTCTCTCTCTCTCTCTCTCTCTCTCTCTCTCTCTTTTTCTCTCTCTCTCTCTCTCTCTCTCTCTCTCTCTCTCTCTCTCCTTCTTTTTTTTGTCTCTTCTCTCTCTCTCTCTCTCTCTCTCTTTCTCTCTCTCTCTCTCTCTCTCTCTCTCTCTCTCTCTCTCTCTCTCTCTCTCTCTCTCTCTCCTCTCTCTCTCTCTCTCTCTCTCTCTCTCTCTCTCTCTCTCTCTCTCTCTCTCTCTCTCTCTCTCTCTCTCTCTCTCTCTCTCTCTCTCTCTCTCTCTTTCCTCTCTCTCTCTCTCTCTCTGCACGCCGGCTGCAGCGCGGCGCCCCATGTTCCTTTCGGCTTCGCGGGGCATCGAAGCTATCCTCTCGCGTTCGGCCATAGCGCTGTCCTCGAGCGCCCCCAAGCGCCGAGCGACCTCATTCTCTGTCCTCTGCTCCGAGGAGGCCGCGGCGTCACCGCGAGGCTTGCTCGCAGTGGGCCGACAATCGAATGGCCCTGCACCTACCAAAGTTTGGGCGGCAACGCGCTCTTCCACCCCCGCCCCCATCCTACGCTCAGCCCCCCCCTCCGCCCCCTGCCCCCCGCGAACGGACGCGGCGAGACAAGTTGCACGTCGGATCTCACCCCGATGGGAGAGGCCCCTACAACAACGGGCGCTCGCACAGCACTGACAGTCGCGAACTGCGTTCTTTGCGCAGAGAGCACACCACCACAAACCAGCGCCCACCGCGAAGCGGACAGGCGGGCGGGCTTCCACGCGAGAGCCTGAGGCTAGCCAGCGCAGCCGGCTCTCCAGACGCATGATCTCTCAATTCGTTTCGGACACGCTGCTCCTACAATTCGCGACGCTGCGCCTCACGTCGCGCCCCCCATTGCTTGAGCGTCTGAGTCGCGGCCACTTCCACGCCGCGGGACGCGGCGACCTGGTTGGCCCCGGCGCCCTGTTCCATCATCTGGGCTCTTAGCGAAGCTTCTCTAGCCTCGACAATCGCGCGCGCAGATGCAGCGTTTGATTTCAAGGCGATGGCACGCCCCCGTCGTCGAGAATCATCGACTTCGCCTCAGGCCCGACGCGGCAAAGCCGCACTCTCATCCGCGGTGCGTTTTGCCGATTCGATAGCGGCCCTCTTCCCGGCGGCCGCCGCCTGAATCTCAACGCTGGCTTCCGACGCCAATTCCGCGTTGCGCGCCGCGGCAGCCTTTAACACTGCAGTAAATTGGCCCACTACCGTCGATCGATAATGACCGGGCCCCCGGACAGCAAGCGCGGTTTTCTCAGCGATAGCCTCCGCAGAGCCGCGCGCCTGCTCCTCGGCCGCGTCTGTTGCCTCGAGTCGGTATGCCGCGGCTTTTATCTCAACGTTGACCCCCTCAGTTCTTTCCTTCATGACAAGGCGCAAGCGTTCCTCGGACTGTTCCAATGCCCGAGTCGCGGCCTGGCGATTTTCTTGTATTTGCAGCCTGGCCGCCGCCTCTGCTGACGTTCCGCAGTCCTGACCTGCCCCTGCCCGTGCGCTATGCCGCTATCTCTCTTTCTCGATATTCCATCATGTCTGAGCGATTCTTCTCTCGCATCCCCCCCCCCCCCCCCCCCGTTCTCAGCGGCGGAGGGCCGCGCAGCTCTGCGCGCTGGGAATCGGGCAACCGGGGGGCAAAGCTTCAGATACAATCCGGGCAGCTCACTGAGCACGCCGAGCAAACAA